AACGAGGTACAATATTATGTTAATTGATATTTAGGTTTATTAATACTTACTTGTACAAATGAAAGTTATAATTTTTTTTTCCAGATGTTCAATTCTCGGGAAGAAATAACTGAGTGGGTGCACAATGTGGGGCGTTCAGTTGGTTGTGTTGTTGTTACGAAAAGATTAAAAGCAAAGCCAAATGGTAATGTTTATAAAGTTGTGTTTATGTGTGAACACGGCGGAACTTACAAAAATAAAATAATTCCCATTCGTCATACGGGAACAAAAAAAWTTGGATGCYCATTTGAGTTGATAGCRCTATTTTCGGCTAAACATAGTTGGTGGACGTTGACGRTRGTATGCGATGAACATAATCATGTTCTTGCACAACATATGGAGGGCCATGCATATGCAATGCGGCTAAATGAAACTGAAGCTCAACTAGTTGAAGATCTATCAGCCCAACATGTCAAGCCACGACACATTTTATCCACGTTAAAGGGTAGACATACAGGAAATGCATCTACGTCAAAGACAATATACAATGAACAACAAAAGATTAAGACAACAAACGATGCAGGAAGACCACAAATGCAGGTTGTTGTTGATTTTTTTGTTAACAAAAATTATGATTTTGAGACTCGTGTTAATGACGAAACAAACGAGTTGGAAGATTTATTCTTCATTCATCCAAGATCATTTGAGCTTTGGCGTGCGTTCCCACAAGTGTTAGTCATCGATGCCACATATAAAACAAATAGGTACCTTAAAATGCATGTCTATTATGTTAATGTCAATATTATTCTTTTTTAACATGCAGAGTGGTATTTCCGGGTGCTAAACATTTACTCTGTAGATGGCACATATTTCAAAATATTTTGAAACATTGTAGACCATCGATTCACGAGTCGCACTCATGGGGTACTTTTTGTCAATTATGGTTGCAATTACTTGAATCTGAAAATCAGGAATGTACACGTACAACTTAGGACAACTTCAAGAAAATCTGCTCGCCTATCCAGGTATTCTTGATATAATATAGTTTAATCATTGTTACTAAAGATATTGACATATGTATGTTATATTTTTTCAGGTGTTATGAATTACTTGAACAATGTATGGTTGACACCATATAAAGAAATGTTTGTATCTGCTTGGGTTGATCAGGTTTTAAACTTTGGAAATCACACAACAAACAGAGTTGAAAGCCAACATTCCAAACTAAAATTATTTTTGGAAAATTCCCGAGCAGACTTACAAAGAATTTTGTCTCACATCCATCAAGTAATCCAGTCACAGGACACATCGATTAAAGCAAGTTTTGAACAATGTAGAACGATTTGGAAACTTACACTTTCAAAATTTGTGGGGATTTGTTTCATTTCATGCACTTGATATGATTTACACTGAAAATGAACGGTCTTTCCAAACTAGCGTATTTTCTGAAAAGTGTGGTTGTAAATTGCGTAGAAGTCATGGGTTGCCTTGTGCTCATGAACAAGCACTGTATACATGTCAAGGCATACCCATTCCACTTGATGTAATCGATATATTTTGGAAAAAAACTTGATTTTTCACCATGTGTGTCCACACAAGATGACGAGATTGGATGTGATGATGAAGTTCAATTGTTCAAAGAAAAATTTAATAAGCAGTTGTATCATGGTCGTAAAAGCTTACTCAAGAAGTTGAAAGATATAACAATGCCATCAAAACCGTTCGATGAACCCTCGATTCATAGAACCACTCGTGGCCGTCCATCTACAAAGAGTCAAGCTTTGAATAAAAGAATTATTGAAGACCGTAGACGTAGTTGTTCTAACGTGTCATCAATTATTAACTCTGAAGATTTGAGGCATCAAGAATCAACGAGGCATAGTTCCTATTTCCAACGACAACCCACCACCCGACATTCGTATCTTGATCAAATCCCGAGTTTATTTCATCCATACATCATACAAATACAAGATGTATTAGRCGATGGAAATTGTGGATTTCGAGCGATATCTACTTGTCTGGGTGGTCATGAAGACGAATGGGACAATATGAATTAACTGAGTATGGACAATATTACTCCCATGTGATTGGCGATGAGTGCTTACGCATTCACGAAGCGCTAAATTTTTTCCAAAAGGGCGTCTTTGCACCAGTTGCGCATTGGATTGTTATGCCTGAAATGGGCATTCTAACGGCTTCAAGGTTCAATGTCATACTACATGTTCTCAATATGGCAGGCAGTGTGACATACTTACCATTTAGGACACAACCTCCGTCGTCATCTCAACACGTGGCAATTGCAATAGTGCATGTTAATGGTAACCATTACATAAAGGTGGTATTAAATGGAGAATATTCAATGCCCACACTTACGCACCATTGGACATGTTAYCGTTTTGAAGATGCAAGTACATGGATTGTCTCGTATCAACATAGATTCAATGCATATGAAGAATATATAGAGCGTACTCTTACTCGTGAATATGTTGATTTAA